AGAGAGAGAGAGAGAGAGAGAGAGAGAGAGAGAGAGAGAGAGAGAGAGAGAATACGGTGGCCTGAATCACCTGCATCATTCTCCAACAGGTCTCTCTGCCCCTGCTCTCACCCTTCTCTAGTCCAGTTTCTATAAGGTAGCTGACCAAAAGACAGGAAGCTCATGTCCCATCAGTGCTGACGCCTGGAAGGGCTCTCCTCTGCTTCTTAGAAGAAAGCAGGAAGTTCTTAGCAAAGTCCAAAGGCATTGCCACAGCCCTGTCACCCTTGAGCCCCAACTATGCTGCCTTTTTTCCTGATCTAGACTAGTGGCTTTCAAATTCAGTGTGTGTGAATGTCACCCGGATGACCTGCTAAATCAGAGATCCTATTGACGAAAGCTGGTTCACTCCCAGATTCTAAATCAATTGGTCTGGAGTGGGCTTTGAGAAGCTGTGGCTCCTTTTTAATTTTGTGTGTATGATTGTTTGTCTGCACATGTGTATGTGTAGTTCATGCGTGCCTGGTGACCACGGAGGCCAGAAGAGGGCCTTGGATGCTCTGAACTGGAGTTGCAGATGGTTGTGAACCACCATTTGGGTGCTGAGAACTGAACCTGAGTCCTTTTTAAGAGCAGAGAGTTCTCTAACCAGTGAGCTTCCCAATCCCAAATTGCCATGGTCCATGGCATAATGTAGCAGATGACAATTAATAATTCAGATATCAACCCACCAGATAAATAATTCTCTGATGGCAGAAGCCCATTTCAGGTAAGGCTTACAAGGCCACTGACTATGAATACTGTTTGCTTCTGTCTGTAGTTTAACATGTGCAAAAACAGTTGTGAAATCTCCTCAATATCTGTACTGTAATGAGTGTTCTCATGTAATGCGTACATGCAAGCTCATGGTTACATCTCAATCTTGTGGGCATTTATTCTGTGGACTATCTAAAAGATGACCCCTCATTAAGCTGTATTACTTATTTTACATCTATAATGTTAACTTGCACAGAGTTTGATGAATAAATTCAATACAAAGAATTTCTACACTAGTCAGGAATTTTAATTTCCTGAGAACTGTTTAAATTCAGAGCTTAGGCTGACATAAGAAAACGGTTGCATCTCCCCAACTCTAAATGACTAATTTAAGGTTTCAAAGTAACTTTAGATTAAGACCAGGCTGTCTTGCTAATGGATTTTAGGATAGACACTCGCAGAAATAGCAGTCTAGTTTCTAAGGACATACTGAGCCCTCTGGATAGGTTGTAAATACAAAAATGTCCAGTGATTTAGCTGGGGAATGATTTAGTCCTTGCATCCATTCCTGACCTCAGTTTGACTGGTCTACAGAAAATAACTTGACTCTGTAATGCCTAATGAGGACTGTAGGTGTTCTGAGGTAATCAGAAGTTACACATATGCTGGGTGGCCGTAGCACACACCTTTAATCATAGCACTTGAGAAGCAGAGGCAGAAGAAGGCAGAGCTCTTTGAGTTAAGGTCAGTCTGGTCTACAGAGCAAGTTTTAGTACTGCTAGGGCTACATAGAGAAACCCTGTCTCAGAAAACAAACAAACAAGCAAACAGAAATAAGCTACAGACAGGATAAGAAAATATATTTCAAGATTAAAAACACTTTTGCCAGGTAGTGGTGGCGCATGCTTTTAATACCTATGGCAGTTTGAGTGAGATGTCCCCCATAGTCTGTAGCACTGAACACTTGGTCTCCAGCTGGTGGTGCTGTCTGGGAGCAGTGGGCTTGGAGCAAGGAGAACAACACTGGGGGGTGGGCTTAGCCGTTTCAAAGACTCTTGCTGTTCCGGTTCCCTCTCTGCTTCCTGCCTGTGGGTTAAGATGTGAGATCTCAGCTGGGCAGTGGTGGTACACACCTTTAATTCCAGCACTTGGGAGGCAGAGGCAGACAGATCTCTGTGAGTTTGAGGCCAGCCTGGTCTACAAGAGCTAGTTCCAGGATAGGCTCCAAAGCTACAGAGAAACCCTGTCTCCAAAAACCAAAACCAAACCAAACCAAACCAAAACAACCCAACAACAACAAAACAAATGAAAACAAAAACAAAACCAAAGCAGCAACAACAAAAAAAGTCAACCACTTTTATTTTTAGTGTGTTATTAGTGAATGCCCTAGTGAATGCCCTAGTGAACTCATATTAAGAAATTAAGGCAAATCTAGGTTCCTACCAAAGCATTTACAACACGGCTCTTTTTATATAAACACTTCTAGAAAGCCTGGCATTTTCGCTAAGCACAAAATGTTAGATAATGTAATGAATGATTCTTTATTTCCAGCTGCAGTTTATAATCAATTAAGAAGTTGAGATTTATTAATTGGATGTATCAGGATGGCTAGGTTTCATATCATTTACTGAAATGTGACCTTAAAATGTAACTCCTGTTGATTGTATATAGCCGTTGAGATAAAGAAGAGCCTGAGGTCATCGGGAGAAAATAGAGTCTAGATGGGAAAAGAGAGCAAATGAGAGACTAAAGAAAGTTACCACCAGAATGCGTGCGTTCCTTTCCTAAAGACCTTCAAACAAAAAGGTTTCCTGAAGCCTTCGCTACTCTGTGTCATTTCCTTTACCACCCTGAAGCAGCCTTGAAAGCTGGTCTTCTGGCTGCAATACCAAAGGCCTGTGTCTTTGTCTCCCATGTGTGACTTCATTGCTCCAGTGTTCTGGGTTCACTGTGGAACTGGTGGCCACTTATGACACTATGCTGTGCCCAAAGGACTCTCACTCATTTACTTTGTTTTTTTTTTTTTTTTAATCTTCTCAATTTCCCATGGAGGGACTTAAGAGGCAGGCTATATGATCCCATTTTCACCAAGAACCAAATGAATAAAACCAGCGCAAATGAAATCAAGACAACCTACCTCATGATAGTTGCTATGGTTTCCTGGTTTCTTCCTGTTTTGATTTGTCTCTCCTGCCACCCCAGGGCTGTTTCCTCATCTCTGAGCTCTAGACCAGACCTAGGATCTCAGTTTGGGTCACTCCTTACCGTGTGCTCTCGATGAGCAGCTTGGGATTCTCTGCCTTCAGAGCCTTAAGTTCTGCCATCACCTGGTCATTCAGAGAGCTCGAGTTCAGCCTGCAAGCACAAGGGAAGCCATATTGTCCTGGGATACACTAGGGAGCATGAAAGACTATCACAGTCAGGTTCCTCAGAATTAGTTATGAGATAAAGCCAGTGAGGGAGCTTATTGGGGTGTGTTCTTTGACTAACACCAGGATAGAGAGGAGAGGCCAGTTGCCATGGAGAGAGACAGATGTGGTCATGATGTGGTGTCAGTGAGGTCTTAGCCAGATCACAGGCATATCTGAACTGGGATGATGGCCTTTGGAACTGTCTAGAGTTGACTTTTTATACTTCTACATGGGTCAGACTCTAGATATGGACCATCCTAGGAAGGGGACATGACTGGATGAGGTGGTTCTTATTGGCAGCCATCAGCATCCCAGTGGTTGGGGTTGTGACTTTGTCACAGAAGGGACTCTGGACAGTTGTTTAAAGAGAATATAGAATATCTGTATTCTAGGATTTTGTGAGAATCCTGCTAGACGGAGAGAATCTCTGTCCCACTCCTTTACCCCCATTTCAGTGCTGGAGATGGAAGTCTTGTTCTCACACATGAGTGCTCTCTATCGAGCCACATCCCAGACCCTGGATTGCGTTCAGCCTTCAACTTCCAGAGCTTCTGTTGGTTTAGGAGAAATGCCACCTTCCCTGGGCCTCCATGTCCATAACCAGGGACACCATCACTGCCTCTCAGCCCGCTGTGAAGCAAGGACAAGCAGGAGAGGAAAGACTTCCACACTTGCAAGAGGCTGTGCAATGTCACCATTCCTGCCCTATGGGCTGTTCTCTCTGGGGAAGGAGACGGAGCCATTGAAGCTGAAGTTTGTTCCTATCTCCAGGAGTGAAGGAGGCAGCTAAGATTTGACAAGTCACCGAGATGTGTCCTGAGAGCAGACCTGTGGCAGAGGCTCCCCCGGAAAGGCTCATCAGCAGGTGGGAGAGAGTCGGGGTGTAAGCTGGATGGGCCATCTTCCAAAGAGAGGCCAAAAGCAGACTCCAGCACCATACCCTGCTCTGACTGCTCTCTTGGGTTTCAGAGTAGAAGTGGTGGTCCTGGTGGTGAAAGCCACAGGGCATAGCCTACTTGGACCCTCTGCCAAATGTAAGCACCAGAGGACTCTGGCCAGGAACTGTAGGGAGTGTTCTTCTAGCTCAAACTGGGGAAGGGAGAGGAACCTGGATGCATGGAAGTAGAGAAGGACATTCAGGAGGGAAGCATTCCTAGTTTGCATGCAAATCTATGGCACAGAGACAACTCCCATTTCAGTCACACAGGGCCGACTCAAGCCCCTTCAAGGCTCTAAGTTTGCCCAGGCCTTTGGCCTCCTTTTGTCTCAGGGTCTTCCCCTACTCTGCTTTTGTCGGCTGTCCCCAGGTTGGCCTCAGAGAAGCCCCCATGGACCCTTCCGTGCAGTCTCCCCTCCCACAGCATTACACTCTCACAATACTATTGAGTCCACAACATCCAGCAGAGCGTGTCAATGCTGGATCACGTGATCACAGGTGATCTATGTCTGTCTCTTCCCACCCAGCTTCCAGAGGACAGAGTCATGTGTGCTTGTGTCTGGATCCCTCGGACCTGGACCAGTGCTGGGCACACAGGGGCCTGATATGAAGGAATGAATGAATGAGCTACCATGGAGCAAAGTGAAACCCTGTGAACATGCGGCCTCCTTTTTAGCTTTCTTTTAATTTATTCTTTGTGTCTTTCACATCATGCATCTCGATTCCATTCATTTTCCCGTACCTTTGTATCTACCCTCTGACCTTGCAACCTCCCTCCGAAAATAGAATAAAATTTAGGAGTAAATAAAAAAAAGGAAAATAAATCTCATCATGCATACTTTAGGGTGACACAGTGAGTCACAATTTACCCCTTTATCCATACATCTTTACTTGCAAGTGTTCATTGCAAAGAATCATTGGTCTGGTTCGAGGCCTCTGGTTTCTGCTCCACTATCGATGCTGGGGCCTCACTGGAACTCCTCTTGGCTATCCTGTTGTTGCCCTGTGCTGTGGACCCTGCAGCTTTGTGTCTACAGGACCAGTCTCCTCACATGCTCCAGTAAATCACAGATGGGATGGATGTTGTGCTGGGCCAACTCATAACCCTGGTTCGGGGCTGGGTTCTATCAGAGTTGGTCAGCCTGTCAGCTCTCCCTTGTCCTCACCACCAGGGTGAGCTCTCCAGCTTGCCCTGGCTAGTTCACCTCTTGCAGCAATGAGCAAGGGGTGGGGCCATTTCTCCTGCTTTCATGCCCTCAGGATTGGCCCTCGGACATCTACACCTACACCAGCCAGGTCCAGCCTCAAGGTCAACTCTCCCACTGTGTGGGGAGGGCATCTCTCTCTGCCTACACTACTATATGACAGATGAGGGAGCGTCCAGATCGCCCATGTTCACCTTTATAGGGCTGGCTAATCTGCACCCCAGTCAATAGGGTGAGCTCTATTGTGCTGCCCAGGTGAGGTGCAGAGCCCACTTGCCCAAGTGCTGCCAATGGTAAGGGGGAGGGACAATTCCCTCACCCACCAAAGGTGGTAGGGGCAAGAGCAGAGGGCATCCTTCCTTTGCCCTCACTACCACATGACAGATGATGGAGCTGTGGATCCCATTCTTCCATCCTCAGGGCTAGCACACCTCTCCCTCTACCAACAGAGTCAGTTCTACTGTGCTACCCAGGCGAGGAGCTGGGCACACTTTCCTGAGTGCTGTAGCTGGTAAGGGGAAGGGTCAGCTCCCTTGTTCCTTTGTCTGTTGCAGGCAGCAAGGGGTGAGGGGCAAGGAGTAAGTGGGGCATCTTTGCCCCACCCGTGCTGACAACCTGCAGCCTCATTAATAAATATGATTCCACAGTACCCGGCTGCCCAACTGTTATTATATTTGTTTATACACATGTATATTTTATATCACTAATATGACACTACCACATAATAGATGAGGAAATTAAGTTGGGAAACACAGGGACTTGCTAAGCCACGGTATAAGTGGCAGAAACTGGTCAGGAGCCAGGCTGACTATGCATTATCTGTTCTTTTCTTTTCCACATCAGATCCTCTGGTACCCCATCTTCTGCCCTCCCTGGTCTTCTGGTAGAAGAGACTCCCCCAGAGTCTTACCTCAGGATTGTGAGGTTGCAGGCAGGATTCCTGAGCCCCTCACACAGCAGTCTCACCCCTTGGTCGCCCAGGTCATTCAGCTGCAGATCCAGCTCAGTCAGGCTGCGGTTGGTGCTCAGCATAGAGGCCAGATCCTCACAGCTGCTGGCTGTGATGCCACAGCTGACCAGCCTGCAGGAGAGATGCACTCTGTCATTTGCTGAGAGTTCGCTTCTCTGGATAGTGGGGACTGGGTCTCCCTTTCTGGTACCTGCAAGTCCTCATTAAAGGGAAATCGGGGCTTCCCTGGCTTGTAGAAACTCTCAAAGTTTTAGTTTTCCTTTTGTACCTAAGTTGTCCCTGAGGATGCAAACCACCTTTGCTTCTCACTCCTAGTAAGATTTACACCAATCCTCCTATCCACCACATTAACTATACACATATAATTTATCCAATGTCCAATGTGTACATCAGAGTTTAATTGGCCTACATTGTATACCCAAGTTTAATAGGCTACATTGACCTAGCTAAATAACCAGAGACAATGAATATAGGATGTTTAGGTAGTTTAAATATTAAGATCATTGATAGGCCAGGCAATAAACCAATGAGCTTCTTGCATAAGAATAGAAGGTGAAAGAGAGTATGGCAGGTTTGTTTGGACCTGAGAGCCTGTTTTGGGCTCCCCAGTATATATTGGGATCTGGAGTATGCGTTGCTCAGGCCAGGGCCTTGTCTGCAGTTGGCATCTGTGCTACATCTCTGCCTTTCCATGTCTTATCAGGGTGGAAAATTCTATGTGTCCCGTAGCTGAGCTGCAGTATCAATGGTATATAATTAGAGGTTTACTCCTCTGTTGCTGTTGTGTCAAGGAGGGCCAAGCTCTGTGAAATCCACAGCATCCCACTAGTGTTTCCCAAGAACCATGCAAAAGTGAAATAGTCTATGAAGACATAGACTAGGGCGTGATCTCACTTGTCAAGTGAAACCCTAGTAAAGATGGAGTCCATAGAGTAGAAGGTGGTTACAAGTGCAGAGAGGAGGAGGAAGTGGGGATGCCATTCCCTGGCCTGGAGCTTTCTTCCCTCTGCTTCATTTAGCCTCCTCCTCTGTACTCCTCAGTTCTCCTGCAGCCACTTCCTCAGGATGTTTGCTTCACTGGAGCCCTCATGGGCCTGTTGTTAGCAATAGCTAGTGGGGGTCCTTGCTGAATGTTAGTCTTTCAGGATCCCCAAGAAATCCCATTTGTTTGTTTCAATAGCAAGTCTGGTATCATGAATGTGGTCAAATAGGTTCAGTGAATGTTTGATGAATCCCAAGCCTCACCCTAGACTCAGTTTTTGTCTTTGTTCTCCTGCCATTCAGGGGAGAATCCAGGGCAGACTCACCACAATGTCTTTAGGTGACATTTAGCATGTCTCAGCATCCTACAGAGACTCTGCACTGCAGAGTAGCTCATTGGATTCCCACTTAGGTCCAGCTCCTCCAGGCTTCCTGTGAACTCAAGAGTGGAGAAGAAAACCTGCCAACTGGCATTAGTGATTGGGGTCCACCTAGACCTGAGGGAAAGAGAGGGAAAGGAGGGATGTGAATTACATATGCATAGTCTGAAGTGGACAGACACACACTCCACAGTGAGATTCTATCCTGACTCCAAGGCCTCTGTGGAGGTTTGAACAAGAATGTTCCCCAAAGCTCACAGATTTGAATTCTTGGTTACCAGGGAGTGATACTATTAGGAGGTGTGGCCTTGTTGGAGGAAGTGTGTCACTGTGGGTGGGCTTTGGGGTTTCAAATGCTGAAGCCTGGCCCAGTGTCTCTCTCTTCCTGCTACCTTCAGATCTGGATGTAGAGCTCTCCGGTATTTCTCCAGCACCATGTCTGTCTACACGTACCATGCTTTCTGCTATGATAATAATGGACTAAACCCTTGAGTGTAAGCCAGCCCCAAGTCAATGTGCTTTCTTTTATGACTTGCTGAGGTCATGGCATCTCTTTACAGCAATAGAACACAGACTAAGACAGTTTCAATGTGCCAGCCTCAGGACCGACCAACCTCTACGCCTACTCTTCTTCCCTAGCATCTTGGTCCTTTATCTGTGCTGTTCCTCATCTACGGTCTTTAGCATAGCATGCTGTGGGCTTGTTTTGTGTTCTGTTTCCATTTCAGTCTAGGTGTTCCTCGAGGGCATGGACAGATGGGTGGCATCTTTTCTTTATAATACCAGTGTATTACCTGTACAGAACCTGGCACAGAGGAAGACATTGGTAGTTCAGTCTTATTTTCTTTGACATGTATATACCTGTTTCCTTTTGGTATAGAATTCTGGAGTCACAGTGGCCATATAGGTAAGCTGGAGATGGGAAGTGGAGCATTCAGGAGAGGTGGTTGAGGGAGATTCTGTGATGGGATGTTGAGTATGGTCGTAAACATGATGGCCATGTTGGTTTACATGGACCCCATCCCTTTCCAAGAATAGAAGACCACAGAGAAGTTCCATGGAGAGAACAAAGGGAATGTCTCGGGAGAGAATGTCTGCAGGCTGAGTAGGAGAGAATTCTGGAGTGTTGGAGTAGATTCTGCCCTGTGTAACTCCTGTTTGATTAATTTCTCAATTTTTACATACTCCTTTATCAAGCTTGTTAGTTGCAGGCTTCAGTGACTCAAGGTTGATCCCACACTTCAGACAGCTATTTCTGTTCTCTAGTTAACTGAAGTAAGTTAACTCTTTGACCTAGTGTGTCCCAATTTGTTCCCAAGGGTAATTCATCCCACCACCTGCGCAGTGTATAGAGCCATGCAGAGGTGACCAGACAGCTGCCTGCACACCAAGCTGTGCCTAACTCAGTCTACTTAGTTGCAAAAGCCTGGACCACAGGGGTCCCTGCTACTCAGAAGACTCATGAGGATGACAGGATATTGCAGTGTACTTATTTGTCATTCTGCCTGCAGGAGCCCCTCTTCCCACCCCACATCCATTCCCTGGGGACTCCACTTCTTGGTGCTGATCCTAGATCCCCTTCGCTCTTTCCCACAGACTTCCAAGCCTTTCATCCTAGCTTAGCCCCACGTCTTTATGTCATCAGTGACCCACAGAAATGCTTTCAACAGGGATCCAGTGGCTACACTGAACTGGGACATAGGTAGATAGCTTTTACTATTCTTCCTGTCCTCCTTGCTAGTCTTTCCAGACTTAAGCAGGTCTGCAGGAGTCTCTTCTCCCACCCCACCTTCATTCCCTGGGGACTCCACATCTTGGTGCAGACTAAAGGTCCCACTAGCTTTTTCCTGATGCTTCTCTCAGTCTTTGTTTCTCGTTGTTCTCCATCCCTTTGTATCATCCACCTAATGGCAGAAACACTCTCTACCAGGGACCCCACAATGACCATATCAGCCTAGGACTGAGAGTAGGCAACAGCGATCACAGAACACAACTTACCTCCAACAAAGACAAGACCAGATAGCTATACCTAGAAGCATCTCAAATATAATTTCAGATGTATAGAATTTAGTGCTAAACAATAAACATGAACAGGCAAGAGAATATGCCTCCTCCAGAAGCCAGCAACCCTTCAATGGGCCTGAGAAATGCAGTTTAGCTGAAGCACAAGACAAGACCTTCAAAATAACAATTATGAATATGTTCAAGGACCTTAAAGAGAATTTGAATAAATGCCTTAATGAAGACCGTGAAAACAAGTTGAGTGCAACAATAAGAATAAGACATGAAAATAGAATTTAGCAAATAAATAGAAACATTAAAGAAAACCCAGACTGAAATAAAAGTGGAAATGAAAAAAAATTCGGGATGTCAAACAAAAACCTCCAAAGTAAGCCTCATCAAAAGAGTACAAGACATGGACAAGAGAATGTTAGGTCTTGAAGACAAGGTAGAAGAAATGAATAGCTCAGTCAATGAAAATGTTAAATCTAAAAGATCCAGGCACGAAACTTCCAGGAAACCCAGCACATGATGAAAACACCAAACCTATGACTAGAGAAAGGAGAAGAAATCCAGATCAAAGGCAAAGGGAATGTTTTAAAAACAAAAACAAAGAACAAAATTTCCTCAATCTAAAGAAGGAGGTGCCTATCAAGATGCAAAAAACACTATGGAACACTAAACAGATAGGACTGGACAAGAACTTCCAATGATCAAAACACTAAATGTACAGGTTGAAGAAAGAATATCAAAGCTGCAAGGGAAAAAGACCAAGTCACATAAAAAGGCAGGCTCGTTAGAATAACATCTGACTTCTAATTGGAGACCTAGAAAACCAGACGGTCCTGTATAGATGTTATATAAACTCTACAAGACCACTGATGCCAGCCCATACTACTATATCCAGCAAAACTATCAATCATAATCATTGAAGAAAGAAAAACATTCCATAATAAAATAAAATTGAACTAATTTCTATCTACAAATCTAGGTCTCATATCCCCATAAAAAGACACAGACTAACAGATTGGATTAGAAAACAGGTTCCACCTTTTGGCTACTTCCAAGAAACAAACCTCATCATTTGGATAGGCAGTGCCTTGAAACAAGCTAGAATTATCTGCAAAGAAGAATCTCGGTTGAGCAAAGGTCTCCATCATTTTGTTTGCAAGCACGTCTACTGGGCATTTATTTTTTTAAATTGATGATTGATGTGGGAGAGCCCAGCTCACTGTGGGCAGTGTCACCCCGGGGATGGTGGTGGTCCTGGATGTATAAGAACGTGAGGTGAGCAAGTCATACTGAGCAATACAGTACACCTTGTTCCTCCACAGCCCCTGCTTCAGTTCCTGTCTGACATGAGTTCCTGTATTGTCTCTCTTCATGATGACCTGTGATGTGGAAGTGTAAGCTTAAGTAAATTCTTTCCTCCCTAGGTTGCCTTTTGTCTTAGTGTTTCATCACAGCAAAATAAACCCTTGTTGGTGAGGTTTTCTGTCCTGCCCAGTTCCTGCAAGTCGTTAAGTCCCAAAGAAATCATACAGAGGTCTACATTACTTATAAATTGATTAGCCTAGTAGTTCAGACTTTTTATTAACTCTTATAACTTATATTAACCCATTATTTTTGTCTATGCTAGCCACGTGGCTCGGTACCTTATTCAGTGAGGCAGTCACATCTTGCTTCTTCTGTGGGCAGTAGCCAGGCAGGAAGTATAGGCGGGACATTCAGACAGGAAGCAGAGGCAGGTCAATGAGAACCGGAGAATTCTGGGAAGGAAGCTCTTCCCACAGTCCTGACCTGGCCACAGACCAAGCAAGATGTGACTGCCTCGCTGAAAAAGGTACTAAGCCATGTGGCTAACACGATAAGAATAATGAGCTAATATAAATTGTAAGAGTTAATAAGAAGCCTGAGATACTGGCCCAATCAGTTTATAACTAATGTAGACCTCTGTGTGATTTCTTTGGGACTTAACGACTGTGGGAACTGGGCAGGACAGAAACCCCAGTCAACATAGAATAATGGGATAATATAAGTTATAAGAGTTAATATGAAGCCTGAGCTAATGGGTCAATCAGTTTATAACTAATGTAGACCTCTGTGTAATTTCTTTGGGACTTAACGATTGCGGGAACTGGGCAAGATAGGAAACTCCAACAATAACCCTTACTAAGACAATAATCAAATAAAAATGAAAGTCATTTCATTGAGCCACCTTCATGTGTATATATATGTGTGTGTTATATAAATATTCTTTGACTGCATTTATTCTCTTTAACGCATTTCATCCTCTCCTCTCCTCACCACTTTTCTGTTCTCGAATAGTCACTCTACTACATTTAAATCAATTTTTTATTTCTAAAGTGAGTTTTTTTCTCTCTATTGCTCAACTTCTCAACTTCTAAATTCAAAAGTCTAAATTCTAAAGTCTCAAACGTCTAAATTTCAGCTATTTTTGAGCTTTGGCCTTCTGAGTAATGGAATGACAACCCTATGTCGGCAAGTCCAGCTGGAATGTGGGTTTTATCATGAGAAGAAGCTTGAAAATGTGGAAATAGAAGACTGAAAACAAGCCCAAACCCAAATCATTATTCCTCTGAGACTCTTTCCCTTTCTGGTCCACTTCTGTCAACATTCTCTTCTGCAGTGCCTTGTTTGTGGGTGACCATGGCAGGTGTCATTCCAAATGGCAATTAGAGTACAGGACTGCTTTTCCTCCCAAATTGTGAGGTCTTAGGGTAGCAGTTGTATTTTCTTTTTTTTTGTGATTGGGCCTGTCATAAAATAAATGCTTAATGAATATTTTTGGAATGACTCAATGGGCATCCGATATTGAGTAACCACTGATACTGAGTACTGATATTGAGTACTCACTACTGCTACTCACTATTGCACAAAGGCATGGGGCCTGGGAAGGGAAATCCACCATGCTGCTAGGAATAGAGGGTGGATAGGGATTATTTAGGTTGAGTGCTAAGGGCCACACTGGCATCACTGACACAAGTAAGTCAGCTTTGTAGAGAAAGATAAGAACACACACACACACACACACACACACACACACACACACACACACATTGATGGGGAAGATCTCAGGACCAAGGTCATTGTCATGGGGGGGGGAACATATTGCCTGCAGAAGCTGAATGAGCAGTTTCTCAGAGACAAAGCGTGTTAAGAGAGGGGAGTAGAAGCTGTGGACCCTCTGATGCTGCTGGAGGGTCCAGGCAAGGTGAAGGTCAGCATAACAATGAGCCTGTGCAGCAGAAAAGATGGGTCCTTACATAGTCAGAGGGAAAGACAGCAGTTCAAGGCCCCATCAACAGTCAGCCATGGAGGATCATAGGTGAATTAGACAGGTGGTCAGGTTGGCGGCTTGGTGTCCCTGGAGACTTGTATTCTATACCCTCTTGAACCAGCTGAGAGTGTTCCTGCTGCTCAGAATGTGTGGCCTCATGCCACATACAGAGAAGGTGGAGGGAGAGGCATGTGTAGATACTCACAGAATCAGCCTGGGGACCCTCAGCGCTTGTCCCTGATGTCCACCCCTGTCCAGCTGAAGTGCCTTCACCTGGTGGCAGAACTTAATGCAGAAAGTGACCACCATAAGCTCCACATCTGTCTGAATCACCAGCTGCTTCACGTCTGCCTGGAATCCTGGCTGTGCCATATCTGTCTGGACATGAACCCTTGTTCCTTGAAAATTGTGCATTGCCTGTGTCAGGAGGTCCTCATCCTGAATCTCATACAGACAGTGGAGCAATCCAAGTGAATACGAGTGTTGGAGGTGGGCTTCCTCCAGGACCCTCTTGAGCAGCTCCCACCTCCTCTCCAGAGGCAGCCAGCAGGTGACGATGGTCTCCATCTTATCCATTGCCTGGTCACTCAAAAGGCCACACAGGAAGCGCATGGCAGGCGCCTCAACCAGGTCAAGTCTTCCATAGACTTCTATCAGCTTTTCTACAGTTTTAAAGTTTTCACAGTTGTCCTTTTCCTCTTCGTAACTCAAGACACAGGACATGGCTGCAAAGAACTCCTGGAGACACTGGTGGGCAAAGCTGTAGTTGGTAGACTTAGGCTGCTTCTGAAGGACACCCGTGTTCATGAAAGTGGAGATGACAGACCCAGGTACCTTCTGTTTCCTGAGGTCCTTATCACTGAACAGACTCTTTTTTCTGCAGATCCCTTCAGCAGCCAGTGAGCAGAGCCCTCTGAGCTGGGGTCCCAGGGGCTGAGTCGGGAGAGCCTGGGAAAGGTATTTCAGGCAGAGGGCTGTGGTGGTCCGTGAGGTCAGTGAGAGGTCCTCTCCCTGATCCATCTGCTGCTTCAGGCAGGTGCAGACCAGCCAGGACACCCAGGGCACCAGGCACAGGGTCAAGAGCACTGGGTTTGATTCAACCAAGGTAAAAGCTGTAATTGCTTCTCTTTCCTCTGCAAAGTATGTGTAGAAATATTCCTTCCGTCCAGACTCAGAGAAGCCCAGGACTTCCACCCACCGTGGCTGCTCCAAGGAAGGAATGAGTGTGTGTAGTTCTGTGGTCCGAGCTGTGAGCAGCAAGGAAGCCGTAGGAAGTAAGGATTTCCCCAGCAAACTGCCCAGCAGTGTGTGCACTGGCTGTGACTGGCTCCAGTGCCGAGAGAACTTAGGATTCTGCAAGACCCATGCTGGCTCATCTATGCCATCCAGGATGAAGAGCAGCTTCTTAGGGTGAGACAGGATCTCTTCTATGAGATCCTTGTGGACATTCTCATATTTTTCTATGAGCTCAGCTAGACTCAGCTGCTTGCACTGGGCCAGCTCTCTGCAGCTGAAATAGAAGACATGCTGGAAGCAATCCCTGTAGAGCTGGCCTTCCCCCCATGCTTTCCTCACCTGCCTGGCCAGCATTGACTTTCCAATGCCAGCAGCCCCCTCTAATATGACTAACTGAGGCTTCTTCTGGCTACCTGGGCTAGGGCCAAATAAGTCTTGGATGACAATTGGATGTCCTCTGTCTTTAATGTCCTGGTGCCCTCCTTCTCTCACCATGGACCTCTGGCCTCTGGGGCAAGATTTTTGTAAAAGTAGCAGCTGTGTGTATTTTTGGTGGAAACCTTCAGTTTCCCAGGACCGTGTATGGCAAGGGCTCTCTCTTCTCTGGTTCTTCCATATTCTTATTGAAGTTTCTAAGTAAGCAAGAGAAAGAAAGGACATAAAGTAACAGTGAGTTGTTCGTTCATTCACCCATTCGTTTAGCCAACAACCAAATAAATTTAGACATTTTTAAAAATGGGGTGGGGGCATCATTATGTAGCCCTGTCTATCCTGGAACTTGCTGTGTAGACCAGGCTGGTCTTGAACTCACAGAGATTGATCTTCCTGTGCCTTTCAAGTGATGGGATTAAATATGTGCATCCCCATACCTAGCATGATTTGGGCATTTTTTAAAATTTTTTTATTTTTTGGCTTCACAGTTCAAAGTGTGATGGTTAAGCTTTTTTTTTTTTTTAAGTTTAATTGACTGTGCTTAAGAAATCTATAAACCAAAAATGCCTCTAGCTGTAAGCCCCACTTGCCCATGGACCTAAGTTCTGTGAATGTGAGATAACAATCTACAGCGACGGTAGAACCTTTGTCCAGCAACTGATAAAAGCAGAGGCAGAGACCTGCAGCAGGGCCCTGGGCTGAGCTCCCAAAGTCCAGCTGAAGAGTGGAAGGAGTGAGAATATGAGCAAAGAGGTCAAGACCACAATGGGAACACCCACTGAGGCAGTGTGTCTGAGCTAATGGGAGCTCACCAACACCAGTCAGATAGGGAAGGACCCAGCATAAGACCAAACTAGATACTCTGAATGTGGGTGATAGTTATGTGGCTGGGGCAGACTGCAGGGCCACTGGCAGTGGCACCAGGATTTATCCCTACTGTTTGTACTGACTTTTTGGAACCCATTCTCTCTGGATGGATACCTTGCTCAATTTAGATATAGTAGGGAGGGCCTTGGTCCTTCCTCAAAGCAATGTGCCTTTCCCTCTTAGGAGTGGATTGGGCGGGGGGAGGTGGAGTGGATGGGAGAAGGGAAGGGAGTAGGAAATGGTATTGCTATGTAAAATGAAAAAAGATTGTTTTCTTTTTAAAAAAATAAAAAAATAAGCCATGTGCTTTGGCTTCTGTAAACAATTATGGTTGCCTAACCCTAACCCTAACCAATGAGCTCGATCACACATAGGTGGGTGGAATGTAGGCAGGGAGTACATCAGGATGTATTCTTGCCCCTGATTGGATGAAGGTAGGAAATATGTAGCCTTATGGGTGTTGCCTTTCTACGTTTCTAACTAATGTATTTCACTGTCATTCTTTGGGAGTCCCAGGTATAAACCTGGCCAGTATCCATTGTCCTGGCCAATATTTGATAAAGCTTGCTTCAAATTTGGTTCGAAAACTGTGGTAGTGGTCTTATTCTCTCCCGGTGGCTTTAACGAAAGGACAGAAATGAGAGACAGTGGTGTACTACTGACTTGTTCCACATCACGCAGGAAACGGTAACATCTGAGGGCAATGGAGTGTGATCTGGAGCAACCACTGCCAGAACTGGGCGTGTGTTGGGGTAAGAATGGGCCCTGAAGGGAAAGAGAAAGAGAGGGAGAGGGCTGGACTTCTACCAGCAATAACACGGTGGGGGAAGAAGTCACTTTCCCATGCAGGATTGTTCTAGATCCCAGCCTTGGCTCTGCTGATGAGAACTCGTGAGTTTGGACCAGTGACCGTCTCTCTGGCCCTTCTGCTCTGGGCAGAGGTGACTGCTTTGATGTGGTGAGAGGAGGAAGCGGCAAGGGTGTGTACTGTGTCAAGAAGAGGAAGAAGCATAGTGAGGCTAAATACGGCACTGAAATAAGGAAGAAGCAAGGGTTTGGGTTGAGGCTAATGAGATTAGAATAAACCCATCTGACAAGAGCAATTTCAGCACCACAGAGCCCAGAAAGATCATTTCTACCTTGTTCCTCCCACTTCTGAATTCTGGCTGCTTCTTTCACAGCGCGCCCCCCACCCCCACCCCAGGCTCCCATAGTGGGAGATGTTCTGCTGTCTCACAGACCCACACAGGACTCTTAGCTCAGCTCACCTCTCGTTCTGCACCTGGACTTGGTACGTTTCTTTTCAGAAGTTTTCTTCGTGGACATCGGGTCAGATGAAGAGTGATGGTCTGGCCTAAACCCTATAGAAGCGAGCTGGCTGGAGGACTCCATGTGAGATGTGCTCGGGAAACTGAGGAATGAGGGATCATGGGCTGTGGGAATGAGATAGTTGGGTGTTTATCAGGAAGAGGCAGGAGTCCAGGGGAGACACTGAAGTTCTTCATGCTAAACCTCCATACGCCCTTTCATAGACTCTGTGGAACAATGCTCTCACAGGTGTTGCAGGGATACGGTCCTAATCTGGGGCCATGAAGTTCATGCACCCGCCCTGGTTCTGCCTTCTCTAGGTGAATCACTGGTCCTCTCTGATCTTTAACTCCTTCATTTGTAGCTATGCTTTTCTGCCTTTCAGGGTTACAAACAATAATTAAGCAATAGCAGCAATCAAAGGCACTTGTAGATACAGATCGTTTATTACTTGCTAAACTCTGTATGATGTGGATCATCATTTAGCTCAGAGACCTCAGGAAGGCAGGTATTTACTCTCCTGTTTTACACGTGAAGACACAGAGGCAGAAGGAGGTGAAATGACTTACCCAGGGTGGTGAGGCCATGACTGGCACCTGTCTTTGTCTAGTTCCCAACTCATTAGCAAATAACTACGGTACACAAGTGTTCCTCCTAGGAGCTGGCTTCACCTCCATCTTCACCCCTCTCAGTGCCCTTCTGAATGCCAGCTTCTCCCTGTTGCTGCTTCAGAGTGCTCCTTCCCAGTGCCCGTTAGGACTACATGGGGTCCTGAGAATGTATTTGGGTAGAAGGAGGTGTGGAGCTCATGGGTTCACTAAGAGATTCCAGCAAGACTTCTAGTTCCAGCCAAGGATGGAGTCTGTGAGCTCTTTTGATGGGAGGTTAGCTTGCCCCAACTGAGACTTGACAGGAGGGCTAGCGATGGCGATGTGATAGTGTAAATGATAGTGATAGTGATAGTGATAGTGATAGGGATAGGGATAGGGATAGGGATAGGGATAGGGATAGGGATAGGGA